ATATGAAGGAAAAACGTATGGGTCACTTTTGCTTATTTTTTTCTTTCTTCATTTTCTTAATTTGTCTTCTGTGTCCATCTTAGCTCACAGTCTGTCTTCTGTGGCTTCGTCAGCACTAACCTTGGTCATTCCAGAGCAACGTCCTCTTCACTCCACTGTGAAAATGCAGTCTTCCACTCCACAATGATTGGGAGTCAGATCTTTCAGATGAAACCATGGCAACCAAAAGGATTGATTTCTGCCATGTCTTTATAACACAATCATGTTATCTCTCCACAGGCTAAAAGATAACTTGAACATATCACTACCCATATAATAGCATAAAGATAAAGTAACAACCTAGAATCCAAGTGTGACCTTCTAAAATACATAGAAATGAAAGGGTTTGACACTGGACAATTCCAATAATATATATGCATAGATATACAACAATAATTAATTTAGTCCATAGAAACAGCCATTAGCAATGGTTCCTTCCAATAGTACCTTGTCTCCTCAGTTCTTTGTTTTAAAGGAATTTCCTCTTGTTCTGGACAAAATTACATTTACAGAAGGAATAAAATCTTGTTTTACATGATACTTCCACATAACTGTTAAGAATGTCTGTTTTGGTGAACTTCTCTTCACCCCTGTTTTATGTACAATTAAAACTGTCCCCTTGCTAAAGCTATTCCCCACAGCAGTGCAGAACCAACAATGATATATTCTGCCGTAACCCTGGAGCACTCACTCTGCTTCTTCATGAAATGAGGCACATAAGAAAGTCTCACCAAGGACCTTCACTGTTGCTTGTCACGAGAGCCCACTTGGCACCTCATGAAGAATATTTCACTGTACAAATTGATTACGAAGAAGTCAGAACAGCAGCTCAAATCTGATCCACATAAAAATGACAATTTTCTTGAAAGCTAAGCAATCTCTTTAAACTGCTGTTAGCAGAATGGAGGTTTACAAGTTCAAGATTCCTATTTAATTGTGTAATTCTGTCATACCATTCCCTGAGCTCTCTGAACAATTGTCCTCTATGGCACCAAGACTTCAACAGAAGCAAACGCCTATATTTTGTATCAGCCCAGTATATGAGAATAAGATTGGAAAATGTTGTGCAGATCCTTTACTCAGAACAATGCCTGTGAGAGAAGCTCCAGGAAGAAAAATTGAATCTGCCTCTCTCCCAGTTTAGATGACAGAAGCTACTCACTATTAGCTACCTCCAACAGGAAGACCTGGGAAAGCCAGCTGTTGTGAGGAATTATAAGATCCCAGGTACAGGAGTGTTCCATTTAAGTAATTATAGATACAATGAAGTGGATGGTGAGAGAATGAAATGCTGTAATAGACTATTTTTATCTCTACTCCTTATTACTGGGGTGACTATGAATGAAATATTTAACTTCTCTATGCTTCATTTTCTCATCTACACGGGAAAATTAATAACAGTATCTACCTCAAAGAGTTGTTAGGAAGATAAAATAGGTTAATATATGTAAACATGTTTTTACTGGTAAATTTTCCTGGCACATAGTAAGAACTTGACAATCTCCCTAATTGTAATTAGTCTAATAAGAAGAATTATTATTGTCATAATGACTGTGAATAACTAGTTTTTGAAATATTGAATCAAAGATCTTGGAAGAGTAAATGGAAATATTTTTAAGTGCAGATTTATTTGATCTTGTCAGTTTCAACTACTATACAGACCTGGATTTTTTAAGTAATAAAGCATTATTTTCCTTTTTAAGAATTAGTTTGGTTGTCTTGAGTTAGTGGAATCATTGTGATTTGTATAGAAATAAAGGGGGAAATTTTTCATTTTAAGTATTTCTTGTATGTCTACAATTTCACACAAAAGTCTCATTGTAGGATTAAAATTCATTTTTTTCCTCACAAACATCTTTGGCTTTTAATCTATAAATGTGTATTTCAACTTTTGCCTCGTTTAGAACTGTTAAAAATATCCTAGATTCTGCAGTGATTTTGCAATAACCAATATGACTCTAAAATAATGAAACCAAAATATTCACTACTTTTAACTGGAAAAATTAATATCTAAATTTTAGGTGGAATTTTGTTATTTATAGTTCCCACTATTTATGTTGTTCTTCATCTTTGTTTGAACTTTGTCAAGTTAAAATCTCCCTAAATTCTAAAATTCTATTTAATTTTTTATCTTTGATTCACATTCAATTATTTTTTTTTTCTCTTTGCTGGTGTAAGTAGTGATTAAAATTACTACTGCTACTCATTATCACTTGGCTATTTATATAATATATCTTCAATCTTTTCAACAATTCTGTAAAGTAGAAACTTTTAGCTAAATTTGATAAATGAGGAAACTGGGGCTTGGAGAGTTTCATTAAATTGTTCACCACAATGCAGCTGAATAATGAGAGATGTGAGCTCTGATTCTAGTTTTATTTGGGTCCTTTCTAACTCACCAAGCTACCTCACATCTAGGAATGTAGCTGGGTTTTATCAACGACGACCCTTAGCACAGCTTCTCCCATTCGGAGTGTTTTGATCTAATCTTACTTTGGTTTCTCTTCTATTTTATGCCTGTGTGACCCTTAGATTTTTATAATCTGAATCTCCACTCATCTAGCTTCTCTTTTTCCAATTCTTGCTTTACATATAATTACTTCACTAGGGATTCTACTTCATCTTAGTCTATATAGGAAAAAATTATATCTCATGTTAGCTGTGAAGCCATAATTATGGAGTGCATCTTGTGTGCAACATAATTTTTCATGCACTAAATTCCTGTATTCTTTTAAAAAGCCTTTCTAAGAGACAATGTGGCTTTACATAAGCAATTTAGCTCTACATAAGCAAGCACAATGAAGAGCTTGGTTCACTGGGATAGCTCTTTGTTTCTACCATCCTTTCACTAAGATGAAGTTGTAGTTGTATGCCACTCATCTTTTTCAATGAACTCACAGAGCAGCATTAGACATTCACAACAGGGGAAGCCAAAGAGTTGAAGAAATTGAAGTTCAGATATCCAAAATACTGACCACAAAAAAACACTCTCTCCTGAATTTCCTATTTCCATGAATGTATATTCTGAGTAGGCACCTACCTTTTTTAAGTCATGCTGTTTTCAATTCTCTTTAGAATTAACAAAAAAATCCTTTCATTCAAGTGCATACTATAAGTTTATATTTATGAATTTATGTACAGTATTAGCTAATATTTTTATTATTTTGAAAGAGCATCTTTTACATTTTATATTAAAAATCAAAATATTTGAGGTTTCACTACCAGCCCACCAATTACGGAATTATTTCTTTTATGATTTTTTTTACTTGGAAATTTATTCATTTTTATTACTAATGGGATTTTGATAAAATTATTGAATGCTCCTGTATTTTAAAAATTCTCAAGAACACCAAATCACACTGTTTGATGCAAGACTGGGCTTTTGACTTTTAATTGCTGCTTATTTTCAGACTACTACTTCTGCCACTAGAGAATGTCTTTGTTCAGAAATATATTCTCCAGTCCAAGATGTGTTATAACCCAGCCATGGATCTTGTCAGCTGTCCTTAATATGATACACTGACCCAGAATAGTCAGAAAAATACCCAGAGTCCTTCTGATAAGGACTTGAGTTCCCTAAATAATGTCCCCCCCAAAAAAACCAGTTTTTTAGAAGTCTGATTTTATAGCCACACAAGGATTTTATTGTTGAAACCAATAACCAACGTAGACTAGTAGGTAAGTGACATGAGTGTACTAGTAAATGGAATTGGTAATTGTCATTGCCTTGTCAGAATCCTAAAGAGGTTGCAAATAAAAAATAACAACAGCAAAAATTTACTTTGTTTTGTTGTTGCTGTTCTGCAGCATCTCTTGAAGGCAAGTAAAGCAGGCTTCCAGAAACAAGATTTTGCATGAGGGTCTCTGGTTTGATCTTCCATACCACAGGCATTGTTGAGTTTTAAGAATTAAGTCATGTGCTCTTCATATTATATAATTTTTATCAACTAGGTTCTATAAGGGTAAGAAAGATGTCTATATTCTCAATCTACTACATCATTAAAGTGTCTCAAAAATGTAGTATTTTCCTAATATTTACATTTCCACTCACTAAAATTAGTTCATATTCTTTCAGATTGACAATGATGGTGTTAATCTTTGTTCTACTACTGTTTTACTATCACCATCATTTCCCACTTGAACCTTTTTAAATGAAAAGCTGCAAACAGAAATCTTAAATGAAAGTATGTGTACACAATTTAAAATGCCATAGGACTTATTTGCTAGATAATTATTGGAAAATTATATTGACAAATCAATGATACAGTTACCTTTTGATTATACCTGAGATATAGCCAGCATTGCCTTGCAGCATTCAAATATATTTCAGTAATTCAAACTGTGTACACATTTTTCTCTAGGTGTGCAGGGTGTGTAAGGGTGTCTGTGTGTATGTGTTTACTTTTTACTTGGAAACTAATAAACAACACAGTTGCCACGTTCAGTAAATACACTTTTAAAATGTGAGATTTTTAAACTTTCAAAGAATTTTGGAGATAATTTGAATTTTACTCATGATTTTTATTTTTAGTGCATATTAAAAAGCAAAATTTGATTGACTTCATAAGAACTGCCATCAGCTCTTCAGAAGAAAGCATTCTATGTGTAGGTTTTAGTATTTTACTAGAATGAAACTCTGTAAACTATTGCTCGAGAACTCCCAGGGCGGGTCTCTAACCTTGGCAGGGCAAAACTTGATGATATAAGTATGAGAACATGGAAGTGACTCCTAAATGTTAGCTCAGTATAGGAGATGAACAAATAGCAAGTACAGTGTTGGGATGTTGTGTAAACCACAGAAATTGGATTTTAATCAACTTTTTGATGATCAGAGAAGTCTCCAAATAAGGACCCCCTGTGTTTATGTTGCATGACTGTTGATTGTCTTCATGGGTGTTTGTCTTTTTTGTGTGATTAATACACAAAATGTTTTTCTTTTCTTTCCTTTTCCCTTTTTGTAGAAATTATTGAACCTACTACCTCTAGTCCTGTCACAAGTCCAGGTCAGTATCCACATACATTCACAAAGTATGTCTGGGTACTTTTTTCATTAAACAAGAACTTCACATCGTGGTAGCAACAAAGCGAGTTGATTCTGGGCTGCATGATTGCCATGCTGCTCTCATGTCTATAACTTGTCCTCGTCTATCTGTGGTTTGTCCTGTCTTTGGATTTTGTGACCTGATCCTGATCCAACCCTGATTTGAAGTTAACATATTCTACTTCATTCTGTAGGGCTTATGCAATAAATATGTGTCACATTGTAGAATAGTTGCAAGGTGATTAGCTTCTGCAACACCTTTGCAAACAGAGCTGTAGAGAGTTTACAAGGTTTTCTGAGTAGCTATTAAAAAACTATTTACTTTGGCTTGGTATTATGTTATTGTATAATCATTATATGAAGCAAGAAGGCATTTAGTGCTTCCAAAAGGAATAATATCTGGGGGAAAGCCGATACTTCTGCTCTTACCATATTACAGTGGGAGATTTTGGTCTTTTGAAACTGTCAAGTCAAAGGACTTATTTCAGTTGTTGGGCTTTATTTTCAGATTGTTCCTAATTCAACCACAAACACTCAGTCTGAAAAGATAGGCCATTGCTATAAGTGCGTTTTTAAGAGTTGTTTTCAACTGTGAACATTCCTGAATGACACAAAATCGAGATAAAAGCTATTGATATTAGAAACAACATTTATCTTGTTATATAGGAATTTAGCAGTTCATTTTGAATGTTGGCTGCTGGCTATTTAAAGAAGAAAGTGGAACTGCTAAAGTTATTTAGCTTTAAAAAGTTCATAGGGAGTTCTTGTAACTGCTGAGTTAAAGGATTTGTTGATGCTGCCTACCCATAAAGAGGTGTAAGTTAGTTAAATAGTTGTTTCTCCTCTCATTCCAGAAATGGCACTAAATTTTAGTCTAAAACAGGATTTGCTGATCTGAGAAACTGAGTGTTTTAGAAATGAAAAAAAAAATTCTATCTCAAATTGTAATCAATCAAAAATGCTTTAAATTGCTTTAGATGATTATGAATTGCCCCCACCCCCCAAATGAAACAAGTTTGAGTAAGTCTATGAGTATGTATTTAAAGACTCTCATAATATAACACTTTCTGGTCAAATTATAGAATACATTCTCATAACCTCTGAAAATGAAGCATATTTGAATAGTCTGTCTTAAATTATTTTATAGTTGATGCATGCAAAGTGTAGTTATGTTATTAATAACAGCTTCCTATTTTGCAGATGGGATTAATAGCCCCTCAAGTTTGAGGAGCATATTAATATAATTATAAGTAGTAGTCACTTAAATAGAATTTTTCTCTTTTTTATTGATTTAAAAAAGTAAATTGGCAGCAGAATGCATTACAATTCTTACTACATGTATACAGCACAATTTTTCATATCTCTGGTTGTATATAAAGTATGTTGACACCAATTTGTGTCTTCATACATGTACTTTGGATAATGATATCTATCATATTCCATCGTCCTTGCTAATCCCCTGCCCCCTCCCTTTTCCTCCCACCCTTCTGCCCTATCTAGAATTCAATTAGTTCTGATTTCTATGAATATCCACGACCTCCACAGAATAATGTAATCTGAGGTTTATAAATGATTCTAGAGTTATTCTTACTGGTAAAATTTTTGGTCTTCTTCTTTCCATCAATTTAAAAAAAGATATTAGGCAATTTCTGTAGAGCTATGTCACCTAGTGAATATAAGATTAGATGAGCACTTACTTTCCTTCTTAGGACATTGCCTAAATTATTGGATCAAGTTAAATTAAAACAACAAAGTACATTTTTTATATACTCAAATAAAGAGGAATGGTATGCAAAATGTCCTAAAAATTCGAATCTACTGGCATATAATAACCTATTTGCTGATGGTGTTAGTAGAAAACATTTTTTTTTTGACAGGCCACCTATATCAAAAGTTTTTACAGGGGGATTAGCGAGGATGGTGGAATGTGATAGACATCATTATCCATCATTATCTCACTGGTATGGGCTTTTACAAAAATATTTAGCCATCATGAAACAAACAAAAAAAAACACTGTTCTTTAAAAATAATCTTTTTTTTCTGAAAAAAAGTATAGTATAAGGGATGAAAACATAAACCTTGAAGATAACTGTAAGTTTAAATTCTAGCTCTTTTATCATTTAGCTGCATAAATCTTATCAAGTTACTTAGCCTCCCTCTGACTTAGACTGCTCATTTGTAAAATTAAGTGAGGGTGTAGCAATGAGAGCTCCTATCACATGGAGTTACCATGAAAACAGTATTGACAAAGCACCTATATGAGTGCTAGCATAGAGTAAGCACAGTAAAAGTAGAGGTCACAAACCTGGGGACGATGCATAAGATGTCTATATCATGTCCAGAATATAAAACAAACTAACAATTTGCTTAAAATCAAGAAATTGGAATCTAAAGAGTCCACAAAGTCTCACAAAGTTATCTGAGACCTCATGATTATTGTCAGTGCCTAACAAGCAATAGCCATTGTGTCTCCAAATTGGTCAATGTATTGCTAGGGTTAAATGTTCTGAAACTATGAATGCATGAAAAATAGGCTAAAATTGAAATTTTCAGCACTGTGATCTTTGACAAAGATAATGTAAGCTTTTTCTGAAAATATTGTGAGTAAAGTTAATAAGCACATGTTGAATTGAACTGAATTGAGTTGAATTATGGGGGATAAAACCAAATGCAACTATAAATGAAATTTACCCTTCATATATTGTGAATTTGTTAAAGGCCTCCAAGGAGCAGGTTGATAAGGCAAGAAGTTAAAGAGTATGTGGTTATAGCAGGATTGAAAGAGTGGTATAAATGATAAACAAAAGCTTTTTAAAAATTGTGCACTTTGCTAAGGGAGATATCATAATTGCCATGCTAGACCATAACCTGAAGCAAAAGATCATTCAAGACAGATGGGAAAGTAATTTACTTTTTGAATAAAGCCAAATGTTATGAGTTCCAGTTGTTTAAAACAAAGCTCTAAAAATGTTATCCAAATAATAATAGTAAGTGAAAAGTCTCACAAAAGTATTCAAAAGATAAGAAATATCAGATTTGCAAACTAGCCCATTTGATACTTCTACATAAGTGGAAAAGAGAATATAAAATAACACGACATAGATTTCATATTTCCTAATATTACTGTCAGAGAGTTAAAGCAGAGATAAAGTGAATACAGTTATGAAAATATTGAACATACTGAAAATAGATTGTAGAAAGTGGATTTATATCATTTATGCCCATAGTTCTAAAGTAATGAAGGTCTTGAAGTCATAGCTTATATTTTTATATATTCTTGACAAGTCAAAATCTGCCACAACTGGCGGAAATGAAAATTGAATTATTAACATCATTATTCAAGAAAAGGCCACAAAATATACTACACAGTAAGAACAAAAGAAAAATATTCTTTGATCAGTCTCCGTCTCAACATTTGAAAGGTAAAGGGCGTTTTTCATGATGAATGAGATATGCAGTGAATTTGAAAATTTAGGCTACTTTAATCATAATTGCCATGCTAGATCATAATTTATTATGAATAATGATCATCAAGCTAAAAAATACCCACTGTTAGGCTAATAACAATAGTATGTTATTCAACCAGCTGTACTATTTCCATTTAGTTTTTTCACACATATATGTGTGTGTGTTAATATATATAACAATATATAATTTAAATTATAGTTTATATGTAGAGTTAATATATTTTAACATCAATACTAGACTTTATAAAATATGGAAAAAGGCTAAGGCTGTCTACTCTGAATAAAACTGTTTTCAAACTTATTGCTAAATTGATCTATTGATTTGCTAGTGCAATTTATCTGTGTGAGGACACCACATCAGACTCTCTGGTGTGATCTTGATCTCAAGAAGTCAAAACTAAACATTCCATTCCAGGATCAACTTATAGTGTTGCCGTAATTCTGGTTTTATATTCCTCTAACTATCTACATAGCAGCACAGTGATCATCCAAAAAGTTAAAATTCCAGTCAAATCAGCATTCACATGACTTCATGTAGAATACAAAAATTAATAAACAACAATCCAACCAACCCATTTCAGTTAATAGGCAAAAGAATAAAATTAGGGGTTTGTTTATAATGCACTGCAGATGTCCCATCTGGTATTTCTCCTTACTTGGTCCCTAGTAATCTCTAGTAGTCACTAATTGAAATTGTTATTCTGAAAATAATTTAATTTTTAAGGGTATGCCATTGATATTCGTAGTAAAATGGCTTTACTTACATATACATTAGACAAATAGAGAAGTAGTATAATATGACTTTCCCATATCTGAAATTAAACCAAAAAATCAACACAATAGGAGTTGGAATACTTCACTATTTAAAAATGACTATTATAAGCACATTTTATTTACATATATTTTAACATCATTTTTTAAGTTTGTGAAGTAAATCTAGTTTCATTTGACACCCAAAGTAAAAAACAAAACATTTTTTTAAACCAAAGGTCACTCAGAAAATATATGATAAAACCAAAATTTAAATGCCCAGAACTTTATCATCAAGTTTGTGTGCTTCACTTTAAACAACAGATAGTGTTGGTGAAAAAATAAAATGTAATCTTTTAAAATGAAATCATTTAAATTCATCAGAAGATACTGCATTATGTAAAGAAATCCCACCCTGAACTGAATAATTCCTAGTTGATACATCTACTTAGCAAATAATTTTTCACTTTGCAATCTTACAGGGTTTTCTTTAAAAGGAAACTGCATTTATTCAACTTAACAGGAAGCCCAATTTCCCGTTTCCTCTAAAGAATTTAGTTCATCATTTTAGCAAACATTTACTGAGTAACAACAATATCAGACACTGAGTACTGGGAGCATAAGGTTATAATCATAAAGGGGGTTGTATCCAATTAAGGAGACAAGTATATATGTGACTAATCATTGTTTAAAATCATGTATTCTCCCAGTTCCATCCAAAGGAAGAAGCAGACACTTTTTGCT